AATTGAATTGTCTATTTTTTTTTTTTTTTTTTTTTTTTCCTTGCGTTATGCGGGCCTCTCACTGTTGTGGCCTCTCCCGTTGCGGAGCACAGGCTCCGGACGCGCAGGCTCAGCGGCCATGGCTCACGGGCCCAGCCGCTCCGTGGCATGTGGGATCCTCCCGAAACGGGGCACGAACCCGCGTCTCCTGCATCGGCAGGCGGACTCTCAAGCACTGCGCCACCAGGGAAGCCCTGAATTGTCTATTTTTGATTGGTTCATCTTTATAGCTTCTAGTTCCTCATTACAGTGATGTGCATTTCTATCGATAACTCTTTCTTAAATCAGTTAGAATTTTTATTATCTCCTTTTTGAACTCAGGGTCTAGTAAACTAGTGAGCTCTGTTTTTTTTTTTTTTTTTTTTTTTTTTTTTTTTTGCGGTACGCGGGCCTCTCACTGTCGTGGCCTCTCCCGTTGCGGAGCACAGGCTCCGGACGCGCAGGCTCAGCGGCCATGGCTCACAGGCCCAGCCGCTCCGCGGCACGTGGGATTTTCCCGGACCGGGGCACGAACCTGCGTCCCCTGCATCGGCAGGCGGACTCCCAACCACTGCGCCACCAGGGAAGCCCTGAGCTCTGTTTTTTGGGTTTTTTTAAAGAAGATGTTGGGGGTAGGAGTTTATTAATTAATTAATTTATTTTTGCTGTGTTGGGTCTTCGTTTCTGTGCGAGGGCTTTCTCTAGTTGTGGCAAGTGGGGTCCACTCTTCATCGTGGTGTGTGGGCCTCTCACTATTGCGGCCTCTCTTGTTGCGGAGCACAGGCTCCAGACACACAGGCTTAGTAGTTGTGGCTCATGGGCCTAGTTGCTCCGTGGCATGTGGGATCTTCCCAGACCAGGGCTCAAACCCATGTCCCCTGCATTAGCAGGCAGATTCTCAACCACTGTGCCACCAGGGAAGCCCATGAGCTCTGTTTTATTATCTGTTCTTTCAGGGGATTTCTCTTGTTCTTTTAATTGGGAGTAGTTCCTCCGCCTTTATGTTTTACTTAACTTTCTCTGTCTCTATGAATTTAGGAGGAACAGTTATCTACGGTGGTCTTGAAGGGTGTTTTTATGTGGGAGTGTCCCTGCATAGATTGTGTGTGTCCAGTGTTTTTGGTGCAGTGGCTGGTTTTGGTATGGACTTCAGCCGCATCTTTCCTCAGGGTGTGCTGGCCATTATCCCCTTGATGGGAGTGTGGCTGGTATTCTGGTGTCCAGAGCCTGTACTGGATGTGAGGCAGGGCTTTCTCTCTGCTCCGTGGCTGTCACTGCTCTGTCAGGGGCAGGGTCTGCTCCTCAGTTGTTGGGGTGGAAGGCTTGAGGGTTGGGTTCAGTCGGACTCCATTGCCCTTGAGTACATGCTGTGCCCCAAAGGAGGTGATTTCTGAAGCAAGTGACACCCACACGGTCACAGAGCACCTGTGTGCTGCCTGTGTAGGCATCCATAGTTCCACTCAGAAGCAGCCCAGGGTTGTGTCCCTTTCTCTCTTTTGTTTGTCTCAGATCTAGTTAAAGACTATGGTGTGGAGTAGGCTGGGGCTGAGGGTCGGGGTGTGGTGGCTGCGCTGCTGCCTGAGATCTGGGCTGCCTCTGTGGCAGACTCCCAGGACCTGTCTGCCCCATATCTAGTGCTAAGCTGCAGTGTGGTGTGGGCACACTGGGGTATTCTTGCTAGGAGACTAACCACTGCTACTCCTGAGCTTGCTGACAGTGGTTGTCACCATTCCATCCACACCATGCCCCAGGACCTCCTAGCTATCTCTGCGGTAGCTAGATTGAGTTCTCTCCTAGGGCCTATATGCCCAAGATTCAGCACTTAGCCACTGCAGGCTCCTGTGGTGCTACCTCACATGCATGCTGACAGTGGCCTCTGTGGCTCCACCCGGATCACAGCCCAGGTGCCCCGGTCTGTCTCTACACTGAGTCTCTGCCCAGATTTCATGCCAGGCTGTGGTGTGGAGTGAATGGGGCCAGGGTGTTTGCCCCTTTGGATTGGGAAGTGGGGCAAACTGCAGTTGCCAGTGCAAGGCTCTCTTTGCCCTGGTTCTCAGCAAGCCAGCATGTGGTCACTCCTCATGTGTAGAGCCTAGGCTTCTCCAGCCCTCTGTCTGTCCCAGTGGATTTCTCACTGTCTGTCCCAGTGGATTTCTCAGCAGACAGGGGGGCCTGTCTCCTCTACGCAGGACCCCAGGACTGGGATGCCCAGATTGTGGTTCGACCTGCTTACTCCCCAGGGCGAGGGTCCACCTGTGTGGACCTTTTCTTCCTTACAGAGGTCCCTCCTGGGGGCTCAGTTCCCAACCTGATGCTTTTTTTTTTTTTCTGTCTCTGCCTGGTTACGTGGAGCTGTTTCTTGCTGCCTTGGTTCTTCTGCCAGTTTCCAGTTAGTTTTCCCTGAAAATTGTTCCACATGTAGAAGTAATTTTGAACTCTTTTGGGGGAGAGGTGAGCTCCACATCTTCCTACTCCACCTTCTTGATTCCCCTTAGCCTTGGCATCCTTGAAATGAAAGTTCTAGAAGTGAATTATATAAAGTGGATCATTTGAAGAAAACTCTATGAACACAATAAAAATAGAGAAGGAGAACCTAGGGGAGAGTCAAAAGAAGAAATATCTTCCATCTTTCTTCCAGAACGGGAGGGATGATCAGACAGACTGTGTGAGTTTTAGGGGTCCAATAAATAGCACTCCTCCTTTTACACTTGAGTTTGGAACCCATGGAGAGAAAAAAAAAAAGATGTCCGGGGACATGGCTTTAGATCTTCAGTCAAGCAGTCTTGCAAATACTTTATTCCTGAATTAGAACTTCCCGTCTAATCCAGACACAGCTGAAGAATTACAGATCCCTCCACCCAACTCATGCAAGGCGCGTGGCAAAGAGCAGTCTGGAATGCATGCCCACCTCCTGCAGAGACACTGGCAGACAGACTGCAAGGGGGAGGGAGTGATAGATGCCCCTGTTCATTCTTCCAAATTCACTAATTAAATAAACTCACTTTTCTTTTCACATGGAGTGATAAGTAAGGGGTAGGGAGAGAGTCCAAGGGTGTTTCTCTAGGGAAGGCCTTCTGCATTGGAAACATGAGGAATGAGGATTAAGAGTTCCCTTCAACAGACTAAAGAGAAGAGGCTTTAATTAGTGGGGCACTAGGGATAATTGGAGCTATTGTGCTGAACTAGGATAGGTGAGGTTTGCTATCTTCAAATAAGTCCTGATAACCCACATCAGTCCTTAGCAGTATGTTTTATTTAGCCAGTATGGTTTGTTGTAAGAGTGAGTAGAGGATAGGCAGCATAATATGGTGAGGAGCATGCCCTTGGGTGCCAGACTGCCTGGGTTTGAGTCCCTGATCTGACTCTTGCTGTGTGACTATGAAAATATTACTTAACCAGTCAGTGCCTCATTTCCTACTCTATAAAATGGGATAATGATGGTACCTAATTCATAGGGTTGTTGTGAGGGTTAAATGAGTTAATATATGGAAAGCATTTAGAACAGTGTCTAGCACATAGAAAGCACTATCTAGAGTATACATAATTAATGTTGATATTGCTATGTGAGAATGTTCTGTAAACTATAGATATATAAAGGCAATGCATTCTGCACAATATTAGAGACAGCCCAGAGATTGTCAGTTTTGACAAGAGCCCTAGGAAAAAAATGCAGTGTTGACAAAATCATGTTCTGTCTTCTTTTCCTTCATTCTACTGCTCCTATTTTTAGGAGTCCAGCAACTCCATTGCTCAAAGTTCTATAGCCTGTGCAGGTGTGCTATCTTAGAAGTCCTTCATTCTTATGACAAGTATATTTTCTGTGACAAAAATTGGGACTCATGCTGAGAAACTGTGAAGTAGATAGGAATTGGTTTGCAAGTACTAAGGCTGTGAAACTGTAAACTTCATTTTCCTTGTAAGTGAAATGGGGATATTGCCTTGTACAATACAGCCACAATTGGTGGCTAAAATATGGGTAATGATACCTGAAATATTTCCTATGAAAATTGGAGTCTGTGCTCCCAAGTTTGTCAATTCTTTTTAGTTTTCCCATCCCCCAGATAAAAACTGAAATTCAGTGTGTATTGTGTATATAGGAGGTGTTCCATAAATGTTGAATGAATTGAAGCTGTCTTAGCTCCCTGTTAACTGATTAAAGCATTTGTTATATGATATATATACTTAAGTAGTTATAACAAAAGAACACTCATGTGCCCTGTGGAGGTTTTAGAATGTGTTCATGTGTTTTCATTTAGTACCTCTGCAATTATCCCTCTGCCTGGAATGCTCTCTTCTTCCGGATCTTTACATGGCTAACTCCTTGTCATTTGGGACTTAGATTAAATGTCATCTTATCAATGTCGTCACTAGTGAGTTCTACCAAATATTTAAGTAAGAAATAACACCAATTTAACACAAACTCTTCCAGAGTTTAAATCCTGATACCAACATTGACAAAGATATTATGAAAAGAAAATTATAGACCAATATCCTTCATGAACATAAACATAGAACAAAAATCTGTTTATTAAAGCATTTGTAATGATATATATATATATATATATATATAGTTAAGTAGTTATAACAAAAGGCGACTCATGTGCCCTGTATAATAAAATATTACCAAATTGAATCCAACAATATCCAACATAAAGAGGATAAGACATTATAAATTAGATCCTCTTTAATGTTTTTCAAGGGATATAAATTAAAGGTTGGAATTCCTTTATTACTACTTTAGCTATTCAGATAATGCTCCTTTGACTGTGATTCCGTGTGGAGCCTGAGTCACAGGGGTCCAGGATTCATAAAGATTACAAATATTTCATCATATTGTAATTTGAGTCTTTATCAAGAATTAGGTATGTTTTAGATATGAAAGTAAAAGTATTTTATAGCATTGTCCAAAGTGTATTTTGATTCCAAAATTTTCATTTTCAGCTTTGGAATTTTCAGTAACAGACATTTTCCTTGTCTTGTAGTTCAAGATATTTTGGAAACTATATTAATAGACAGCTACATCTTCCCAAGCACCATAATAGTAAGTGTATAACTTTTACATAATTACTTGTCTCGTGGTTGTTATTTAGAAAGTACTAAAAAGCCTTCAGATTTAAATAACTAGTTTGTTTAATGCTGAGACTTCTTCAAAACACATCCTTAACTCTCATACTTCTAAGGCTTCTAATATAGATCCTACTCCTTTCATTTTGATGAATCTGCCAAAAATTGTCCTTTTTGAAAGGTTTATTTTTTATTGGATTTTTTTTCTAGTTTGCAGTCCTTTTCTTTTTTTCTTTTATGTATGTATGTATGTATGTATTTATTTATTTTTGGCTGCATTGGGTCTTTGTTGCTGTGCACAGGCACTCTAGTTGCAGCAAGCGGGGGCTACTCTTTGTTGCGGTGCGTGGGCTTCTCATTGCGGTGGCTTCTCTTGTTGTGGATCACGGGCTCTAGGAGTGCGTGCTTTAGTAGTTGTGCACGGGCTTAGTTGCTCCGCGGCATGTGGGATCTTCCCAGACCAAGGCTCAACCTGTGTCCCCTGCACTGGCAGGTGGATTCTTAACCACTGTGCTACCAGGGAGGTCCCTTTGCAGTCCTCTTCTATCTCCCAATTCAACCAGACTATGTAAAAATAGTCATATTTTTATGACTGCTCTCTTATGAAAAACAATGGAATGGAAAATATTGCTACTAGATATTGTTTGTATGCTTTTCTTTATGTGTGTTTCCCCTTGGTAGCCAGATCATTTGAACAGTCTTATCATTGTGATGCTGTATGATTTCCAAGATAGAAAATTTCAAGCTCGTCTCCTTTCTGATAATGAAGAGTCTATAGCAGAAGTTCTAGAAGTAGAGAACCTTCTTAACAGGTAATTGTAAAGGTGAAAACAATGTTTTATATGAAATCATTATTGGTATTTTCACTGGTGAAATTGTATATAATATAATGTGCAGATAACTGTTAAAATTTTATAGAGAAAAAATATAAAAGTTCATAAGTTTCTTGAGTTCCTTTACAAACAAATCTTGAACAGGGTAAATATTCTGCTTAAATTCAAGTTGTTTTTCAAAGCTTGAATTGTAAGATCCAACTTGTAAGTATTTGGAAAATGATGAAAAATTCCTGACAATTTTTAGCATGTACTTAAGTTACACTTCATTTGAAACTGCTGTTATTTGTTTACCTGGCTTTGTTTATAGCTCTTTAAAAAAAATCTAACATGTATCAAACAAGAAAATTCCAACAGTAGATAAGAACCTATCACTCTTCCAAGTTGAAAAAAAAATCTACAACTTCATGTTAGTAGTTAAGAACAAAACTAACATGTTTTAAATTTGTTTTCCTTTTATCCTAAATATCAGCAGAAACCTAGTATGGGGATAATAATAGCATCTACCTAAAAAGGTGGTTGGGAGAAGTAAATAAACTAATGTATATAAAATGCTGAGCTTAGAGTCAGACACTTAGTAGATAGTCAATCAGTGTTAAATGCTACTGTTGTTAGGGCTTTTGTTATAACATCGTTGAACCTTAATAGAAAGCACAATATAGCAACAACAGCAATCTTGTAGGAAGATTTTTACCAGGTGAATAATCTGCAACAGTTGTCATATATCATTTTATATTATTGGAAACTCAAGCAGTTTCACTTACAGTATTGAAGGTTGAGACCAGAGGACTCACGTAATGGAGTTATAGTAATAACTTACCTTTATTGAACACTTAATATGTATCAATCATTGTTATAAGAAGCTCTTTACATAACAACTCTTTGAGGTAGACCAACCTGTATTTTTACACGTGGGAAAACTGAGGCACAGACATGTTAAAGGACCCTGCCTAATGCCATAGAGCTAGAAAGGGGAATACACATTCAGGAATGCTGACTCTAGAGCCCAGGATTTAACCATTTATATGCTACTACTCCTTCCACTTAAGATAGTGAGTGGTGGCTAAAGTATTCTAGAAGATGAAAGATATGACATAGTCATATCTCATGTCAGTTGTAGCCATGAGAAATTTGGAGATGGAGAAAAGCGAAAGCAATCAGATGTATGTACGCTCTGTGTTAGATAAGTAAGGATCTTGCCTCTGATTACTGCATAGGTTTCTGGGCAACTACTTCACCCATACCAGTACCGGGCAACCTGCCTCTGAGGACAGGCACCCACGATGGGCACAGATACATCAGAGAAGAGCTGGTGGGGCAGTATGCTCTGGGACAGGCTCTGAGTTTCAGCTTTCCTGAGCTGCTGTCAGTTTCTGTTTGACTTAGTCAGGACTCAGGAGATGTTCATGGAAGTCTCAACTTAGTCTCAGTGAGCATAATGAGAGCTGAGGTTAGGAAAGCCACAGGGCTCCAGCCAAGTAAGAAAGACCAGACTGTGGTTTCATGAGCAGCAGATTTTTAGCTGAGAATGTTAGCAAGCCAGGCAGGAAATAGGACAAGCAAAGGTCATGATGGCTCAGGAGGCCAGAGGAACCAGAAGATATTACTGTCTTAGTTTCCTGTTTCTCCAGATTTTTCCCTTTCCCCATAATACATACCATGCTACCTCCTGCCTTGACACACATCTGGTTCCATTCTTGTCAGGGCAAGAAGCTGTCAGTGCAGTTTTTCCCCCTACCCAAACCAACAGAGCTTCATATAATGCAGATCTTATTCCCACATTAATAAGTTATTTCATACCCAATTCATGCTATACTCAATTCATAATATGCTATAGGAGAAATGCGTGTATTTAGTGATTGAATTGCAGAGAACAGTAGTGCAGTATACTTATATAAAGATAACACTGAAAAAAATCCATGAATAATGATAAAAATCATGCTGAGAAAATACATGTATAAAGATAACACTAAAGGGTTTTAATCAAGAGTCTCAGCTTTCAAGTAATAGAAGCCATCTTCAGTTAGCCTGAGCAAAATGGAAAATGTTCTTATAAAGATATTGGAATGTCTCATGCAACTCAGAGACTCAGGAAGAGGATGAAAGCAGGAGCTGGAAAGATGTCAGGACCTTTATCTCTGCTTCTTTGTCTCTTTATCTTTTTAACTCTGCTTCTCTCTTAATATCTGCTTCATTCTTTTTTCCTCTGCAGATCTGCCTTCTCTGCTTCTCTAGTCTACATGGAGAAAGCCCTACTATTGCACTCCACGTCTTGAGCTTACTTGTTACAGTTGTATGTTAGTTTTTTCACTTAGACAAACTTATTGTCTCTAACCCCAATTCTAAATTATAATCCCTCCCCTGGGAATTTGATTGGTTCCGTGTAGGTCAGGTGCATTCCCCTGGGCCAATCCCCCATAGCCAATGGAGCAGAATTCTGAACTGAGACAGAATGGTAGCGGCCAACATCTGTAGATCATCTGTGGCTTGGGGCTGGGCACTGTTGTCCCCAGGGAAATAGAATCATTGTAAGCTTGAAGTATACTTTAGTTATGTTTCTACCAAGAAGACGAAGACTAATTTTAAGAGGTGATAGAAGTAATTATTTAGCAAGAAATTGAATGAGAATTATTTCCTCCTTATGAAAATTGTGTTTGATCTTTGTTGTTATTGTCTCTTCCAGAAATCCTTGTGTTTTATCACTCTACCAACTTGTATCTTTTTTTTTAAATTTTCTTTTATTTATTTTTTTATATAGCAGGTTCTTATAGTCCAACTTGCATCTTTTTCTTCATTTGTTCGTAGCTTTAGAGATATAATCCGAGATGACACCTATTATCATTTTTGACATATGCAAGGTCTGTAAGAACTCATTCCTTGTACAAAATGCAACTATATTTTAAATACTATGTGACTGGGTTAAATAAAAGGAGACCACAGCTTCTTCCTTTCTTACTCCCCCTCTGCCTTACACTAGCTTAAGAATCTGATTCTGCCAAATAATTTGTTGGGCTTTGGTGAGGCAGAATTGGGGAATGGGCAGTGAAAGAGTAGAGAGGCAGAAGGAGAGGAAAAACTTAGTGGTCCATCCTCCCAAACCACCCAAAACTGTCCTGAAACCTTCCCCATTACAATTAAGGCACCGCCAGCTTCTTAGATATCATCCTTAATTCCTCTTTCCTCCCCTCCCCGGTGCCCATACCACACCTAATACATCACGTTCTGTAACTCCAATTGGAAAACATGCTGAATGTGTCTACTTGTGTCCATTTCCACTTCTACTGTCCAAATCCAAGCCACTATAATGGGTCACTTGGACTACTGCAATAGTAGTCCTCCTTCCCTGCCTGTAACTCTTACTTTTTCACAATGTGTTCCACATGGCAGGTAAAGTGATATTTTAAAAAAGTGATTATATAGTCATGACACAGTATCTAGGATCAAACTATATTCCTCCTGTAAACAGCTAGATGGACAAAATATATGAGGCAAATATTTTGGACATTAGACAAAAAGCAGCACAGAATTTTGATCCTTGAGAGAATGAAAACAAATGAGGTGAGCCCTAGGATAGTCCTGGCTATATACCTGCAGGTACTTTCCAACTGCATTGCAGGAAGGAGGATCTCAAGAGGAAAACTGTAGTCTTACTAAATTAAGAAAACAGAGATCAGAGTTTTGGGATAAGCATCTGAAATGATCATTTTTTTCTCCTTTTTTTGGGGGGGGGGTACGCGGGCCTCTCACCTCTGTGGCCTCTCCCGTTGAGGAGCACAGGATCCGGACGCGCAGGCCCAGCAGCCATGGCCCACGGGCCCAGCCGCTCCGCGGCACGCGGGATCCTCCCGGACCGGGGCACGAACCGGCGTCCCCTGCATCAGCAGGCGGACTCTCAACCACTGCGCCACCAGGGAAGCCCTTTTTCTCCTTTATTCTATTAATGTGGTAAGGTAATTCACATTGAATGATATATGAATGTTAAAACCATCCATGGATTTTTGGGATAAATCACATTTGCTTGGATATATCCCTTTTCTTCTATTCCTTAGTTTTCTCATTCACATAATGCTCCAGGGTTTCTCATTTGCTGAAGTGCTCCCTAAACACTTGTTCATGGGTTTTTGTCTCTCATATTCTCTCCACCCCTTCTTTGGAAACTCTTAGCCCATTTCACTTACTTAGTGAATATTCTGAAACAGTTGTCAGTATAATGTCTGATTTTATATTTGTATGGGAAATTCAAGCAGTTCACTGAAGATTATCCTTTGGCATTAAGAAAATATTCAATTTATATTTAAAGAGAACCATATTTCTTTTGTGTTAGGCATTACTAATGGCACTCCAAAACTTGAGATATTTTGGGAATTCCCTGGCAGTCCAGTGGTTAGGACTTGGCACTTTCACTACGGAGGGCCTGGGTTCAGTCCCTGGTCAGGGAACTAAGATTCCACAAGCCATGTGGTGTGGCCAAAACAAAACAAAACAAAACAAAAACAAAAAGCAAAACAAACCAACAACAGCAAAAATACCTTGAAATATTTTGTTCATTGTTAGATAAAATTTCTGAAAATTTGAAGCCAAAACGGAGTAAAACCTTTTTTGTATTAGATAGGATTCTTTTTTGACAACACACAGGACTCCAACTCAAACTAGATTAGACAAAAGAGAAATTTTACTATAAGGTATCACACGGAAGAATTGAACAATGAGACTTGCAGGAAAGACATTGATGTGGCTACGCTTCTACTAACTAAATCCTGTGGCTCAAGTATCATCAGGGCTCTCTTCGACTCTAGTCTCTGCCTCTTTGTGTGCTTTACCTTCATTCTTGGATCTTTTTTTCTTTTCATAGAATGGGAAACTTGGCTGCTGACTACTCAGGAGCTTTACATCGTACACAGCACAGAAACTAGAAAGACTGGCTTGACTTTCAGTTGCTACACAAAAAAATTCGCTTGACTCTGGTTTGGGTCAAGTGCTCACCCTCTCCCAATCAACGGTAGTCAAGGAGACAGAGTCAGTTAGGAACACCTCCCAAGAAAATTATATGAATGGAGGGAAGAGAGGAACATTTTTCGGAAGAGGGGAAGTTTCTATTCCCAGAAGGGAAGTGGTGCTTAGAATAGAAACCTGTAGGTTTCTGCTCTAAATGGAAACATTGCTCTGTAAATATGCTTTGCTGTTTAACATCTCCATTTTTTACGGTACTCTGCCCTCTCTGTCTGTATGTCTTTTCTTGTGGTCTGGAAAATTCTTGCTCCTCCTTTAATAGTTGAGGTTTCTCCTCTTGGAAGTCTCTTTAGGCTGATTTTGTTCTTCTTCCAATACATTTACTCTCTTCTTTATCTGTGTATCTTATAACATTAACCATGTTGAGCTATAATTATTTGTTTATATGTCTGTTTTACCACCTAATTGTAAATTACTTAAGGGTAGAAACTATCTTTTAATCTTTATAGCTCAAGTCTGATAACAGTACTTGATTAATACTAGTAATAAAAAAATAAGCATATTGGACTTCCCTGGTGGTCCAGTGGTAAAGAATCCGCCTTCCAGTGCAGGGGACACGGGTTCGATCCCTGGTCGGGGAACTAAGATCCCACATGCCACGGGGCAACTAAGCCCGTGCGCCACAACTAAAGAGCCCACATGCTCTGGAGCTCACACGCCACAACTAGAGAAGAGAAAACCCGCACGCCACAACTAGAGAGAAGCCCACGTGCCACAACGAAAGATCCTGCATGCCTTAATGCAGATCCCGTGTGCCTCAACTAAGACCTGACGCAGCCAAAAAAAAAAAAAAAGAATAAGCATATTAATCATTATCATTTCTTGAATAACTTAACTTTAAATACATTCAAAAGGGTCTTTGCAACCATTCTATAAGTTAGATATTGCTTCTTAATTCCTAGAGCTTAGAGAAGCTAAGTAACTTGTCTAAAGTCACATAGCTAGTAATTAGTGGAACCAGAATCTGAACCCAGGTAATCTGACTGCAGAGTCCAAACCATACTGGCTGGAGAGACAGAGGAACAGCAAAGTAGAGAAAGAGGGGAATGGATGTGGCATGTAAGCAAAGTGGTAAATAGCTCAGTGTGTGACTAGAGGTAGATTTATGGATGTGAGTGGTAAGAATTGAAAAAGGAAGAGTTGGTTCAGGTTAAATTATTAGTATCCTTGTGTGTTATGATAAAGAGTTTGGATTCTGGCCTGTAGCCAATGGGTTCATTTAAGATTTAAGCTTAGGAATTATATAACTACAATTTAACATATAGAAAGAAAGCTCTGGCTACATGTATAACAGGGATGCTGATAAAAAGATAATTAAGCAACTCGCTGCCATAACACAAATTGTAGCAGGAGATGGTGTTCTGGATCAAGAATGTTGGGAAAGGCTGTTTTTGCTTCCATTTTCATCACTGCAGTCTACCTTAAAGCTATGGAAGTATTTTTAGTAATCACAGGATATTTTATTTATGGAAGTGATATATCTGGTTATCCTAATAGCATTTGGATTTGGTCTTTGTCCTCAATCTGATACTGTATGTTTATATAAGAATCTTTATAATTGTACATATACTTCAAGTTACTTTTTATATAATTAAATTATATTAAAATTCACAGTCCAAAATGTTTGCTATCTGGGTTTTGGAAAATCTTTTCTCCCTATACTCCCTGTATATACACAACACATACATTTTTCTAGGCTTCATATCTCTGATCTTTATATTTAATGATTGAATAATTGTCAGTAGCATTTATAATGGTAAATTCAAACTACGTAGGTATTTGGAAGAACTGTAGTCAAAAATTGTCTGTTCTCAGAAACATCTCAGTGTATAATATAGAACAGTAACTCATCCCCTTTATATTAATTTATTCTTCGATGTGCATTAATATATAATTATTTTTAATGTCACTTGCTGTAGTTCTGTGACATTAGGACATAGCACTACACAAATCTAATTCTTTTTTTTAAATTTAACTTGATTTATTTATTTGGTTGCACTGGGTCTTAGTTGCAGCACACAGACTCCTCAGTTGTGGCATGCGAACTCTTAGTTGTGGCATGCATGTAGGATCTAGTTCCCTGACCAGACATCGAACCTGGGCCCCCTGCATTGGTAGCACGAAGTCTTATCCACTGTGCCACCAGGGAAGTTCCCACAAATCTAATTCTATGATAGCCCCAGAAGGCTTAATGTTTGATAACCCTCCCCTCTCCCCCCACCCAAAGTGCCCCTGTGTTCTCATCCTCTCTCCCTGTTTCCCTCCCTCCCTCCCTCCCCCGCCCACCCCGCTCTCGCTCTCTGTCTCTATCTCTATCTTATTAAGCTTTCTGCAGCCACATACGCCACTCTCAAGGAACTTGACTTTTTGTGGCATCTCTTCCTCATTTCTCATTCAAGGTTATCCTTGAGGTTTATTATTCAATTAGATTCCTATTGTGAAAATGCTATGAATATATGTCAAGAGTAAGTCCTGTATTCTCATTTGTTAAAAATTTGGGCTATGACATTTAAAAAAAAAATCATTGGGTCTTCATGGTTATGCTAACCAGTTCTTGTTTTTCTTTTCTGTCATTTGGAATTTTGAGGTATGAGATAGTTAGAACTGGGAAGGACTTGATACAGATTCATGAAAGTTCCTTGATCTTATCAAGAGTACACTGTTGCGGGCTTCCCTGGTGGCGCAGTGGTTGAGAGTCCGCCTGCTGATGCAGGGGACGCAGGTTCATGCCCCGGTCCGGGAAGATCCCACATGCCGCGGAGCGGCTGGGCCCGTGAGCCGTGGCCGCTGAGCCTGTGCGTCTGGAGCCTGTGCTCCACAACGGGAGAGGCGGGAGGCCCCGCGTAGAAAAAAAAAAAAAAAAAAAAAAAAGAGTACACTGTTGCCATCTCTGATAATAATAACTGACCTGTAATGAGTGCCTGCCATGTGCTAGTCACTCTGCTAAGTATTTTACACACATGATATTAATCACCACATTAATTGCAAGGTGAGCTGATCACATTTTACAGATGAGAAAACTGAGGCTGATGAGAAATTCAGTATCACACCTGAGGTCACACAGCTAGTAAGTAACAGAGCCTGAATTTAACTTCAAGTTTGTCTGACTCTAAATCCTACACCTTTTTCACTACATAAAATTTGTCTCTTAGCCAGCAGTTGTTTTAAATATTTGAGGAGGACTTCCCTGGTGGCGCAGTGGTTAAGAATCCGCCTGCCAATGCAGGGGACACGGGTTCGAGCCCTGATCTGGGAAGATTCCACATGCCGCGGAGCAACTAAGCCCGTGCGCCACGACTACTGAGCCTGTGCTCTAGAGCCCATGAGCGACAACTACTGAGCCCATGTGCCACAACTACTGAAGCCCGCGCGCCTAGAGCCCGTGCTCCGCAACAAGAGAAGCCATGACAATGAGAAGCCCGTGCACCACAACGAAGAGTAGCCCCCACTCACCACGACTAGAGAAAGCCCGTGTGCAGCAACGAAGACCCAACACAGCCATAAATAAATAAATAAATTTAAAAAAAGAAAATATTTGAGGAGATACACAGCTATACAGAGACATCAAAAACTGAAGAAAAGGGCTTCCCTGGTGGCGCAGTGGTTGAGAGTCCACCTGCCGGTGCAGGGGACATGGGTTCGTGCCCCGGTCCGGGAAGATTCCACATGCCGCGGAGTGGCTGGGTCTGTGAGCCATGGCCGCTGAGGCTGCGCGTCCGAAGCCTGTGCTCCGCAACGGTAGAGGCTACAACAGTGAGAGGCCCACGTACCGCAAAAAGAAAAAAAAAAAAAAAAAACTGAAGAAAAGAAGCAGGTTTATTGGATTTGCATTTTTAAATATGGCAAATTTTAGACTTCAAAAATTTGAAATAGAAGTATTAAAATTCTAAATCTAATTGTTAATGTTTCTAGTGGAAAATTGATAGTCTTGTCTTCAATGCAGTACTTACCAAGAATGGATTTTCTATTTCTAGTTTTAAGACAAAATTGGCTGCGGCATTGGCAAGATGTCGAATCAAACATGATGCCCTTTCAATTTACCACATTCTTCCAGAAACAGTTAGGAACCAGGAACTAAGGGCCTCAACTTTGCCACTTTATGCTTGGATAAATACGTGTAAAATCAGGTAAGATTTCTAATCAAATTCTTTATTTAAGTCACTTGCCTTTCAAAATAATGTGATAAGAAATATTACCATTTTAATGGATGGGGGGCTCATCTGGGGGAGTGATTGGGGAATCATAGTTTAGTTCAGGATTTTATCACCAGATTACCAAAAGTAATTACATAAATGTGTTAACTTTTTTGTCTGTTTTTCAACTTATTGTTGGCTAAAATTATAAGTTCCATTAGATGCAATATATGCAGTGATATTTCTATTTATTGTAGGAAAAAGATTCTAGTGTTAAATACACTTTTGATGTATATTTGTAATTAAAACCTAATGTTATATATTTACAGCCCTGAAGAAGTTTATCATAGTTTGAAGAAAAAAGGCTATAATAAAGTCAAATCTGTGTTGCATATTGATAATAAAGTCTTTGCTGTGGATCAACATTGCTATGATGTCTTAATTTTCCCATCTCATCTTAAAAGTGATCTTCTAAATATAGATCTTTTCAAAGATTATAAACTTGTATTTCAGGTAAACTAACACTTACTTTCATTGTGGTTCTCAGTAATCCTGCTCACCCAGAGAATTCCTCTACTTAAAAATAAAACCTAACAAATTGGTTATATTTTGTATAGGTTATCAAGGAGGTTTATAAGGCCTAATTTTCACCTTGAATAAAATTAATACCCCTACAGTCAGTTTTTGTTTTATACTTTGGCATCTTTGCCCCATGTGAAGTGGGCATATTGTAAAGAATATGTATTTGCCCCATGTGAAGTGGGCATATTGTAAAGAATAGGTATTCTTCCTACACACCATAGGTGGGAGAACTCTTATTGCCTACAGCTAAAAGGCTATATTTTTCTCTCCCAAGGGAGGATTCAAGAGAATGCATAATGATTCCTTTTCTTCTTTCCATTTCTGGGGAAGATGCTAGTGCCATCCTGCATTTGAAAATGCAATGTGTAATACTTTCCCATTATCTCTTTAGTATATTCCTACAGCTTTGATTTGTAAGATGTGTATATATAAATGGCTATCAATGCAGGAAGAGAATGTGAGGTATAATGGGGTTTCAATAGAATGAAAAATTAAAAGAAATCAGGTTAAATTAATTTTTGTGTCCTTAGATTTCAATTCTTGCCTCAGATTCACCTCGGTTTTATAAGGTTTATCCCTTCATAGTACCTGCATTCTTGGGCACAGTCTCTTGGCCTTATTTTGTTGTGACACCTTATTGAGCACTGAGATCAGTTGCAGAAACTCATCTGTCCAGCCCCCTTTTATAAGGTTGTCAACCGTCTTACTTTTAATCTCTGTGAGCTAGCAGCCATTTAGATGACAGTGTAATGGGGAAGAAAGAATGGCAGTAGCAAATGGGTGCATTTTTATGAAAGCTTAAGAATGGGAGCTAAGGCAGGGCATCAGTAATCTGTTTATCACATTTTGGGGATTTTGGCATTGCCTTATCACTGTATAAAAGTTAAATGATAACAGTCATAATTTAGGCTAAACAAAGTTAGGGTATTGTTTTAAATCAGTTTATATCAGTTATCTTTGTTAAGTTTATATTTTAACATATGTTAAGATGTTTTAAACTCGAATGCGTTAGGTATCTCTTCAAGATTTCTGCCAATACTTTTTTTTACCTAAGGCAAAAAGAAGTCAGTACATGCTTCTAGTTAAACCCTTCGAAATTCTAATTGTACCATTATCTTGTAGGACAAATCTCGAAGTCTCGCTGTCCATTCTGTGAAGGCTTTATTAAATATGGATGATGATACCTTAATGGTTAATACAGGTTCGTGGTACACAGTTGCCCATATGTCAGTCTTAACAAATAATAATACCTCAAAAATATTTGTGTGTGGAGTACAATCACAAGCTAAGGATCCTGACCTGAAGAACCTTTTCACAAAAATGGGATGTAAAAGTACGTACAAATATTTATTTGTTTGGTGGTAATGTTCTGTAAGATTTAGAAATGTTAAAAATATTTGAATTTGTTATCTCTCGTAATATAAAACTCTATATATGAACTATACTCCTAAAATCCGCACTAATCTGTATTATATCAGGCTGTTCTTGTTGCTTAATATTGGTTAAACAACTGCAGTTTAAATTAATGAATATATTGGCACTTTGGTATATTGCTTGACATTTAACTACTGCATAATTTGAGTTTCAAACAATAATTAAAGTAAGTGGTAGAAGTTGTCATCTTTTAATAAATAAGAACACAATCACAGGAGTTCTTAAGGGACAAAGATAATATCTAGGACCAGATGCTAAGTCCTTAGGCTTCTTATTTTTAAAGAATTTTTCCACTGGATCATGCTGTGACAAAAGATAACATTTCATTATAGGTTCAGTGAAGCTGAAAAACTAAACGAATCTTTTGACAGGTTCACAGGGTCAGCGAGACGATAAGTAGAATTCAGGGCTTGACATGGAGAGGTAGACTGGTAAATACCCAGGATTTCATTGGAGCACAGAAGTATACCCTGGGCAGTGATCAGTCCTCTGATGAATTGAAGCCCAAATTCCAGTCATCTCAATTCCCAATTGGATTAAGGTGATCTGGGATTGCCAGAGGCAAAAGTAAACTCTCTGGAAGAAAGTAACATCATCCTGGATCTCATGTTATCTCCTAATTTTTTTCAAATGCTGTGTCTGGCACTCAAAAAAATGAAAAATCAGACAAAATAGAAGAAAGATGTGAGTGAAATAAAGAGAAAAATACTGCAATAGAAGCAATCCCACAAAAGGTCCAGGTACTGGAGGTATCAGATGTGGACTTTAACTATGATTAATATGCTGAATAGACTAAATGACAAACTGCAGAATTTCAGCAGAGAACTGGAAACTATAATTTTTAAAAAACTCAGAAGAAAATTCTAGAATTGAAAAATACAGTATGTGAAATTAAGAAATAAACAGATTTAACACTAGGTTAAAACTAAAAGAAGGAATAAGTGAACTGATCAGTCAGAAGAAACTATCCAGACTGAAGCATCAGGAGACAAAAAGATGACTAATATGGAAGAGACCATAAAATACACATGAGATTCAGTGATCCAGTGATGTCAGGTATGTTGTGATTGGGAACCCAGAAAGAGAGGAGAAAAGGAACTGGGAAGAAACAATAAGTGAAATTCGGGCTGGGAGTTTTTAAAAATTGATTAAAGTCCCAGATTCAAGAAGCCCTACGAACTCCAATAAAAATAAATGTGTAAAAAACATAGTAGGCACATCATAGCATAATTGCTGAAAACCAAAGACAAAGAACAATGTTCAAAGCAGCCAGGGAAATAATACATATTACCTTCGATGAGATAGCAATAAAACTAAAAATTAACTTTTCAACAGAAACAACTGAGGCCAGAGACAAACAATATCTTCATAGTGCAGAAAGAAAATGTCAGGCTAGATTTCTATACTCAGCAAAAATTTCCTTTGAAATAAAGATATTCTCAGAAAAAGAGAGTGAGTTTGTTACCAGCAGATACAATAAAGGGTTTACTAAAGATTATTGTTTGAGTAGAAGGAATATTGTCTCATACAGAAGGTTGTAGATGCTGGAAGAAATGAAGAGCAATGGAAAAGGTTAGTACATAGGTAAATCTAAGTAATTGTAGTCTAGTGTCTTGTGGGACTGTAAACTGTAATGTCTTGTGGAGCTAACAATATTTGTGTTATATATAATTAAAATACATAACAACAGTGGCACATCGTTTAGAGAAGGAAATGGAATCGATGTGTTCTGTCATCCTTGCTTTGTCTAAGAAATGATAAAAGTAGTAAATTATTAAGTCAGTGGTATGTGTTATAATATCAGGGGCAAACAATAAACAAATAATAAAAGAATGTAAAACTAATAGCTAAGGAGGAGGGGTGGAATATGGAATTGGAATCGCCATAGTAACATATAAAAGGCAAGACAAATAGGAAGGAAGTAGGTAGATTAAACTTTAAAAAATATGTATTTATAAATCAATAAGTAAACATGAAATATGCATGACTAATACTTGAATTACAAGACAAAGAACATCAATACTGGATTTTTAAAGATCAACTTTAAAGTGCTATTTATGAGATACCCCTTACATAAAAGGATATTCAAAAAAAAAAACTTAGGAGGACAGAAAAAGATATTCAGTGAACATACTAACAAAAGGAGCTACAGACAAAGTAGTGTTATGTCAAGAAAACTTACTAGAAATATAGCATGTTTAAGTCATCAGGAAAATATACCAGCACTAAGAAGTATGTACATAATAACATAGTCTCAAAATATATACAGCCACATTATCTAGAACCAGCAGATAAAATGCTCTGTATATAGAAAATTCTAAAGAATCCATGAAAAAATACAGATTTAATGCAATCCCTATAAAAACCCTAGCTGGCTTTTTTGCAGAAATTGACATTCTGTCCTAAAATTCACATGGAAATCCGAGGGACCTGGAGTAGCCAAAGCAGTCTTGAAAAAGAACAAAGTTATAGGACTCACACTTCCTGATTTCAAAATTCACTACACAGCTTTAGTTATCAAGACAATGTGGGACTGGCATAAAGATAAACATGTAGATCAGTGGATAGAATTGAGAATCCAGAAGTAAAATCTTACATTTACAGTCAATTGATTTTTGACAAGTGTACCAAGACCATTCAACAAGGGAAGAATAGTCTTTTCAACAAATGGTGCTGGGATAACTGGAGATCCACGTGCAAAAGAATGAAGTTGGACCCTTACTTCAAATCATATACAAAATTAACTCAAACTGGATCAAAGACCTAATTATAAGAGGTAAAACTATAAAACTTCTAGAAGAAAACACAGGGGTAAAACTTTGTGACTTTGAATTTGGCAGTGGTTGTTTAAACACCAAAAGCACAACAAAAGAAAAGATAAATTGAACTTCATCTAAATGAAAAACTTTTGTTCTTCAAAGGTCACTATCAAGAAAGTGAAAAGACAACCCACAGAATGGGAGAAAATATTTGCAAATCATGTATGTAATAAGGGACTTGTATCTAAAATATGTAAACAATAATAAGACATATATCACAATTTAAAAATGGGTAAAGTATATTAATTTAATTCAGCTCTTCAAGAAAAAAGTTTATAAAACAATGCAGTTATCAGTAATGGGCAAGGAGATATTACTACAGATCCTAGAGACATTTAAAACATAATAAAAAGATACTGTGAGCAAACTTGAACATTTAGATGACATTGGCATATTCCTGGAACAACACAACTTACCAAAACTGACAGAAGAAGAAATAGAAAATCTGAATACTCTTGTATCTATTAAGATCTTAAAATTAGTGGATATAAATGTCTATTAAATTCATAATTGAAAATCTCCCCACTCACAAAGCAAAAAAATTAAAAACGTTTAGTCCTTTAAGGAAGAAATAATACTCTTTCAGAGAATAGAAAAAGGATTACTTCCCAGTTAATTTATAACCTTGATATCAAAAACTTGAAATGGATATTAAAGGAAGGAAAATTATAGGCTAGTGCCACTCATTAGCCCATTTGTAAAAATAAGTGTTAGCTAGGTGAAATAAGTATTAGCAAACTGTATTTAGAAATATAGAAGAATAGTACATCATAAATAAGCTGGAGTCTAGGAATACAAAGTTGGTTTAACTCTTAAAAATCAATGTATGTAATCATGTTAATAGAATAATTTTATGGTCATCTCAATAGATGCAGAAAAGAAATTTGATAAAATTTAACATTCATTTATTATATATATACACAGCAAATATCATACTTGATGGTATGTTTAAAGCTTTCTGGTATCAGGGATTAGATAAGCATGCCTGCCATCACCATTTCTAATCAACATTGTACTGGGAATCATAGGCAGTACAGTAAGGAAGGAAAAGAAGAAATAGAAGATATAAAGATTGGAAAGGAAGAAATAAAATTGTCTTTAATTTATAGGTGACATGATTATATATGTGGAAAATACAAAGTAATCTATAAACTATAGATTTCACATATGCCTTTTTAAAATTAATTTTTATTGGGGTATGGTTGATTTACAATGTTGTGTTAATTTCTGCTGTACAGCAAAGTGAATCAGTTACACACGTATGACTTTTGCAGTGTTGCTAGATACAAGGTCAGCATACAAATTCAGTTTCTGTACACCAATAACAAAAATTTGAAAATGAAGCAGATACCTTTTACAATGAACAAAAAAACATTAAACTTTTAGGAATACATCTAGTAAAAGATGTGTAAGACCTCCTCATAAAACTTATAGAACATTACTGAAAGAAAGAAAGAAGACCTAAATAAATGGAAACAACAGACCATGTTCATGAATTGAAATACTAAATGTCATAAAGATGAGTTTCTTCTCCAAGTTGATCTGTATTGATTCAATTCAATCCTCTTGATGCTACAGGATATTAAGGAAGAGAAGGTCTTTTTAGTAAATGGTGCTGGGAAAAAATGACCCCTGCTTCACACCATCTACACAAATCTAGAATCTAGAATGTATTATAGGAGAAAACTTCTTGACTGGGGTTGGTAAAGATTTCTTAAACAGGGCACATAAAGCACTCATCATAAAAGAAAAGATTGATAAATTGGACTACAGTAAAATTTTTTAAAATTTAAGGACTTCTATGCATTAAGAGTACAAAGGCAAACTGTAGAGAGGGAATATATAAACTGATGAAGAGGTTTTTTTTGCCACAGTGTACAAAGAATTCTTACAAATTAACAATAAAAAAGACAGCCCAGTTGGAAAATGTGCAAGAGACATGACCAGGCATTTCACAAAAGAGGATATACAAATACCAAAAAAACTTATGTAAAAGTACCTTAACCCCATTAGTAATCAAGGAAATGCAGTTCAAATCACAACTTACCACCACATATCCACAGAATGATTAAAATTAAAAAGATGGCAGTACCATGTGCTGTCAAGGTAAGGAGCATTAGGAATACTCAGACACCGTTGGTTGGACTGTAAATTTGTACAGTGACTTTGGAAAACTAGCATTAATCACTAAAATTGAAAAAAATACATGCCCTTATGATCCAGCACTTCCAGGTTTATTACCCCTTTGAAGTTTTACCTAGTTAACCAGAGAGAATAGGAACCACTGGGTAACTAAGCAGTAGAGGAAGGGAAGTTTCTTCTTTTAGAAGCGTTCCAGGTGATAAATGAAAAAGGGAAGACGGGAGTAGAATACGACTATTTTGCAACCCCTTTGCTGGTACCATAAAGGCAATTTAATGGATGAATGTGACCCCACTTGTGAAGTAGTTTTGTGCTCCCCACCCACCAAGAAAAAAAAAGAACTTGAATCTAATTAAGCTCTAAAGATCCAGCTACTAATAAACTACACTTTAGGAAAGTAATTAGCAAAATCCAGACTGTGGGAAACTCTAGTAGTACAAAAAAAACATGTTTCATTAAGAAATAAGTGATAAGAAAAAATGGAGAGGGTACCTACCTATAAACAAAAAGAATTTAAAATAAGACATCAACTAATTGCAATGTATGTACCTTATCTAAATCCTGATTTAAACAAACTAAAAAAAAATTTGACAAGTGTGAGACTATTGGAAAATTTGAGCCACGATTGTATGCTATTATTATTTGATGATAATAAGGAATTACTTTTTAAAATGTATAGGGTTGTATTTTTAAAGGGGTTCTTATCTTTTAGTGATATATGGTGAAATATTTTATAGATTCAAGATAATATGGGGGAGTGGAAGTGGGTGTGGATATAGATGAAACAAGATTGGGCATGAATGGTTCATTGTTGAAGCACCATAATGGGTACTTGAGAATTTATTACATATTATGTCTATTTTTGACATAATATGTTTAAACTTTTACAATAAAAAGCTAAAAATAGGGGAAAAAAGAAAAAGGCCCACTTGATTAAACATTTTTTTTCAAAAGAGACAATAGAAAGAGGGAAGAATTGATCAGACAAGAGAAGGGTTGGGTAGGGCAATTTCAAGAGCGACTCCTCAGCAGATGAGGGGAATGGGAGCCATTGCAGAAGTGAAGGGGTGGCCCTAAGATAGGGTCACAGATAGTTATAACCTGAGGGAAGGCAGACACTCTTAAACTAAATCATAAGGCCCCTGAGGACCTTTAGACTGTGCCTAAATAAAAATTATAAAATGCTAAATGAAAATACAAATGATAATAAAAATTTTTTTCTGGGAAAAATAGAATATAAAAGGGGTTAAAAAATGGGAAGGGAAGTAACCAATACTGAACATTTACTGTATACTAGGCACCATGCTAAGCCTAACTACTTTATCTCAATCTTCACTACAATTAGATGAGGTGTAGGCTTTATTATCCCATTTTACAAATAAGGAAATTGAGGCTTAGAGAGATTGTCACACAGATAGTAAATAGTGAAGTTGGGAGTCAAACTTGGGTATTTTTGCCTCTAAAAGCCATTTCCCTCCACTATACCATACTGCTTTAAATGGAATCTGAAGTTCAGAATGGAAAATTTAAATTATATTTTATGTAGAAGATATTTAAACTTCAAAATCATTCTCTCAAGTAAAGGAGAAAGAACTCTATTAAGAGAATTCACGCATTAACTTTAGGATGTTATCAGAAAATAATCCTCTTTTCTGACTGCATTAAAATGACTTTTTGTGGGGTTGAGGATTTAAAAATGAACAATGATAAATAGATATAATTACATACTGCATTAAGATTTTTAATTAATATTTTTACATACATTTTCTGTGTTTTTTCTCCCAGATATTGAAATACTTCATGAGACATTTATTAACCTTGAATCAAAGGATCATAGGTTACAGAAAGTTAAAGTGATTCTGCTGCTACCTCGTTGTTCAGGACTGGGTGTTAGCAATCCAGTAGAATTTATTTTAAATGAGCATGAAGGTACTTGCTTTAATTTTTAATTTCTAAATTATTGAAATTTTAATTTTTTTTT